GCATCGGCTACTGCCAAAGGTGAAAACTGTTTCAAGACTTTCTTTTCGCATTTTTTTTCGTAACATAGCGTTTTCCGGGAATGCTGTTTTTTCTCCCCCCCCTTTGTTCGATAACATACATGGGATCCAGATGAAAAGTTGGCAGCCATTTACATATCCGAAAGGATGTCAATTCTCTAGTCTCGGATTAGAGAAAGATTCGCCCCCCAAAATCCGGGGACTGTTTTCACAGAAAATCCCCGGAACGGCAAGGCGCACTCTTACAGGAATTTGTTAAACCAGTTGTACATTTCCCAGCGCATTTTTCGCCCAGGCGTAGTGCATGCGGCCGCAAGTTTCGGTGGTTGGCCTACCGTGGCTGGCGGTGCCAGCCAAAAGAAGGCCCGCTCCAGTTCGTTTTTTACGGCGCCAAGTGCATTTCAAAGCTTGGCAAGGGGAGGGTCAAAAGTACTGGTGGCTTAAAGAGAGCAGTGTGGCCACCCTTAGTGTCCCTCACTTTCACAAATTCCTTGGCTGGATAAACAAGGTCCTCCTGAGCGCAGACCCAGTTAGGTAACCAACCAACGGGTTCACACAGCAACAACAGGGAGCAGAACCAATCCACCCTGAGGCTTTAGCCTATGATGACATGACAAAAAAGTTAAAAAAAAAACAACAGACTTAGACAGCGACGAGCCTAGCTCAGTCGGCACACAAATGAACTGTTGAAATACAGACCTGAGGTCGAATCCAACTGCAACGAGATGAATGAAATCCTTGAGTTACCGAGGGCTGATCAGTTCCAGGATGATATCTCAAGGTCGTCGCCCTTTTTAAAAAAAAAGGGCTTACATCCACACAGCGAAGCCAGTCATAAGAGGGGGGGGGAAGAGGGGGGGGTGGGGGGGGGGGGAGATTGTCTTTTTCCAAAGCCTAGGCCCCACTAGCAAGAGAAGAAGACAACAAACGAGGGGCTGTGACAAACTGTTTCCTCGGAGTTTCACCGACTCGTCAGGATGCTGAACCCTATATATATATATATATATATATATATATATCATCACAAACAGATATATATGTATATCGTCACAAATAGATATATTGTCACATTATATGTATATCGTCACAAACAGATATATATGTATATCATCACAAACAGATATATATGTATATCGTCACAAATAGATATATATGTATATCGTCACAAACAGATATATATTGTCACATGATATCAGAGCGCCTAAGCAAAAAAACCAAAAAAACCAAAAAATCTTAAATTCGTTTTTAAACTTCTTCCTTACAACTCCCCCTGTTCAGAACCTCTTGCGTACAAGGCCGCCCACGTGGATGTAGGTTGAGCGGCGGCTGCCCCCACCCCCGTGTGTCATATCGACCCACTTGCACACAGCCAAGAGGCAAAGAGGCAAAGAAGAGAGGAAGGGAACAGCCAAATGAAACAAATAGAACAGAGGGAAACAAGACAGATCCCAGATGACAAGTCCCACATCCAAGCACCGCCCGCTCCGTCAAAGGCCAAACAACGGGACAAGACCACCCAGGACAAGACAAAAAAAAGCGACGATCCACAGTGTGACAACCAAGAAAAAAAGAGAAGACAATCCCGGATGACGATTCCCACATACAGGCACCGCCCCGCCTCTCAAAGGGCCGAACAACGGGAAACAACCAACCAGCATGCCAAAAACCCGAATGGCTGGTCCCACATGAAGGCACAGCCACGCCCATAAGATAGCCCGAACAACAGGACCAAACCAACCGAGGTACAGACAAAATCAGCAAAACAAAAAAAGGCTCCAATCCACAATGTGACAACCAAAAAGAAGGAGAAGACAATCCCGGATGGCGATTCCCACATACAGCACCGCCCCGCGCTCAAAGGGCCAAACAACGGGAAACAACCAAGCCAACCAGGATGTCAAAACACTTGCCTGGAAAACGATAACCCGATAACCAATCCCACATGAAGCACCGCCATCCCTCCTCCCTAAGATAGACCAAATAAGGGGACAGAATCAACCGGAATCGAAGCAGACTTACAAAACGATAACCCGATAACCAATCCCACATGAAGCACCGCCATCCCTCCTCCCTAAGATAGACCAAATAAGGGGACAGAATCAACCGGAATCAAAGCAGACAAGATTCTCATTCAAAAGAAACATTCTACCATAACCATAGTTAAAAAAACGGAACCATACAGTAGGTCCGCAAAACAAAATACCCCCAAACAAAGGGGGAAAGACAATAGGAAAAGATATGGGACAATAGGACAAGGATTATTTTCTACCATAGCCAAAGAAGAGCCTGCTAGTACAGGCCCGACGCTAGCCGCATCATCTACAAAAGTAGAGAGCTAGCAACGTCGGCAGTATATATTGTGTATATCGTCACAAACAGATATATATGTATATCGTCACAAATAGATATATATCGTATAATATTTGAGTCAGTGAAACTCCGACGAAACAGTTTGTCACAGCCCCTCGTTTGTTGTCCTCTTCTCCCTCTCTGCCTACGGTTTACCGGGCAGTTCTATTTGACGATATATATATATATATATCATCACAAACAGAACTGCCAGGTGAACCGTAGGCAGAGAGAGAGAAGAGRACAACAAACGAGGGGCTGTGACAAACTGTTTCGTCGGAGTTTCACCRACTCATCAGGAGGCTGAACCCTCAACAGTCTGCAGAATCCCCTCACTGATTACACTGTAAATGATAATCTACCTTAACCAAAATCAAAGTAGACTATCACTCACCCACACCAGATGGAAAACTCTACAGACTGTCGGTTCACACCCCATCACAAGCCAGCAAAACATCCACGAAACAAAGAAAGAGAGAGAAGAGGACAACAAACGAGGGGCTGTAACAAACTGTTTCGTCGGAGTTTCACCGACTCATCAGGAGGCTGAA